TCTTAATCCTGTCACCCTCTTACCAGCTGAAGAGAACACACCTCTGCAGCATGACTGTTTAGAGATTCTGGAAGATGTCTCTTCTAGCAGGTTGGATCTGTCTGATCAGCTGATGCCAGAGCCAAATTGGGACCTTTTCAAAGACAGGAACAGCATTATGGACAATGGACAACAAAGAGCTGTTATGTGGTGGTCTCAGAACAATGGGTGCTGGAAGCAATAGCATTGCCACGTGGGACTTCAGTCCAAAAACGCTGAGCTGATTGCTTTAACCAGAGCTCTCCAACTATCCTGGGGAAAAAGGTAGATATTTATATGTACTCTAAATATGCTTTTATGATTATACATGCTCATGGTGCTATTTGGAAGGAAATGGGACACCTAACAGCAGAAAATAAGGACATTAAGTACACTACTGAAATAATGGCCCTAATACAGGCTGTGGCTGAGCCCAAGCAAGTGGCCATTATGCCCTGTCCTGATCATCAGAAAAAGGACACTTATGTCACAAAAGGGAATCAAGCTATTGACAGGGCCTCTGAAAAGGCTGCTAAAAGTGATCTGTTACTTGGATTTAGATCAATATAAAGCACAGTACACTGAGGAGGATGAAAAAGGAGCTAAAGATTGGGGTTTTGACACTTGGGACGACACAGCTAAGTGAAGGCAGAATTCCCACAGACTTATTCTTCTACCAGAAGCATTGGTCTAGCCCCTTATGAGACATCTATATGAATGCACACATTATGGGCATGATGCCTTAGTGGACTTAGTGGGACATCATTTAAAAGGACTTCATTTGCCAGTAACTGTACAACAAATAACTGAGAATTACCCTCTGTGTTCTAGAAATAATCCAAAACCAGGAAAGTGACCTGCTGCACAAGGGACTCAACCCAACATGTGGGGTCCCACCATTTTGATGATTGACAAATTGATTTTATTCAGATGCCTAAAACAACTGGAAACTGTATATATTTGCTTGTATTAGTGGATACTTTTTCAGGGCAGGTAGAGGCCTATCCCACCCAGATAGAGAGGCATCTGAAGTTACCCGGATTCTTCTGAAGGAACTTATTCCAAGATATGGGCTCCCTTCCTCCATACAGAGTGATAATGGACTTGCCTTTATCTTGGAAATAACTCAGCAAGTAAGTAAAGCCTGCATGTTGAATGGAAATTACATGCATCCTGGAGACCTCAATCTACAGAAAAAACAAAAAATGAATCAAACTTTAAAGAAAATTATAGCAAAATTAATGCACGAAACCCACCTATGTTAGATAGGGCGCTGCTGCTTGCACTGCTCTGGATTGGGGTCATCCCTAGAAGCAGGCTTAAGTTAAGCCCCTGCAAAATAGTTTATGGGAGACCCTTCCTAGCACCCCTAGGTAAATATAGTGACATAATTATAAGTGAGGGAAACAAGGTAAAACAATATGTTAAACAAATAAGCCAATACTAATCACTATAGTATTGGCTTATTCGTTTGCCCTCTTTAGGTCCTCACCTCAGCTGGAAGCACCCCTCCACCCTTTTAAATCAGGAGATCAGGTGCTGCTTAAAGTCTGAAAAGAACATGGACCCAAACAACAACTGGCAGAGAAGGGGAAGGGTCCCCATGAAGTGCTTCCAACAACTCACACATCATCAAAATTGTCAGGAATAAAACCTTGGGCCAATCATACCAAGGTAAAGAGGCGTCCTATAGAGGAAGAGGACCCAAAACCCCAATGGAAAGGCCAGCCTTTAGGAGACCTAAAGTATCTGTTTAAAATAAAAGAAAAATGAAATTGTTGGTAGTCTTTCCCCCCCTAATCTTTCTCTAATTATTTGTTGTCTATACTATAGATCCTCAAACTCCGGACATTTATATGGCTCGCCGGGTGATTTTGCCACCACTGCCTGTCCTGCTTAGCAGCCGACTCATCCCAGGCCCACAGTGCACATGTGTGGAATGTGCGCCACACTCTCCAACTGCCCTCCAACGGTCTGAGGGACAGTATACTGGCCCCCTGTTTAAAAACTTTTAGGACCCCTGGATAGGATAGAAAAACAACTCCACAGTGTGGGTTTCTCCAGGATACAACCTTTTTTGCTGCTTTTGTCTTGCAGATGGTTCTGTAGACCTCGTTCAGGGCAAGTATTCTAATCCAACCCTGTATTAGACAAATATAAACCTTCCATCTATACCACCACCAGGATTCAGCAGGAAGTAACTCAGTGAATACAATACTCCTCCTCCCACAGATATGGAAGGAAATAAAATTGAAAGTGGGGAATATGTAATAGAGAGGATGGCCTGAAAGAAAGAAAAAGAAAATGTGTATTCTGTCTCTCATTGAAATCATCTTCCCTGCCCAAGGCTGGCGGCTGGGTGGACCAGGGGAGTGTTTTCTTTGTTCTCTGTATTGCAGGAGATATGGAGGATCAGGAGGCAGTCCCAGGAGATCCTGGGCAGCTCCACCTGGCTCCAGACTGATAGAGGTGTCCAAACAGATTCTGGAGATGAAAGGAACAGAACCATCAACAGTAATTGACAACAACACTCTGAACCTGAGAAAGCTCCCCTTTAAAAGCTCTGTATTTTTGCTTATGGGGGAGGAAAATTGGATTTGGGGATGATAGTCTGTGTTTTTGTTCCCTTTGCCAGCAAAGGAATAAATCACTTTCCTTCTCTTCAATTACTTGTCCCTGTTCTGATTTGGACTCGTGGACAAATTCATTAAAAGGAATTATCCAAGATTGTCTCTATGTAAAACTAATGATATTATACACTGTGTCCATTAAGAGTGAGAATAAAATAAAATATATTTTTGAGAATTCACTTTTATTATAATTTTAGAAGATTTCCTGGAATGGTTTTCATGCTTTCAATTTAAAACTTAAAATATCTTGTATAAATTAGAAAAAATTATTAGCACACGTATGTGGCAGTCTGATTCTTTAATAAACCTGAAATTGTTCTGGTTAAATATGTCTAAAACACAATTTATGAGGAGATATCAAATGCACTGATGACATACTGAAATGACATGAGGCAAACAAAATTTTTTATCATAAAGTAAACTTTAGAAATAAAATATAATTTTAAATTCTAAGTAGTAAAAATTTGGGAAATTAAAATGGTAAAAGGCTGCCATCTTCACAGTTCTAGAAGCTTATTTCTTCTAACGTGTAATGAGTACATAATTTTCTAGTCTTTGTTATGTTAAATATGAGCTATTATTTCAGATGGTAATGCAGTGTGTTAATGAAGTAAAGAAATTATCCTGTGTTTATATTTTTAACAATCTGTGAAGAATTTCTGAAAATTATTAATATAATAATAAAGAAATAAAATACATGCTTTTTTTCTCTACCTTCAAGAAAAAATAAGTACACCTATGATGTGTTGAGTTAGTTTGTAAATTTTTAAAGATAGAGTACTCTATCTTTAGAAACATTGGAATTCATGATGACTCAGCCATTTTTTTTTAGGTAAAAGTTCATTTCCTCTCCTGTGGTAGTTATGAAAAACTTTCAAGTAGGTTGCTAGAGAAGGATGCATCTAGGATTCTTCAATTTAGATTCTTCTGATTTCCCCATTCTTACTTAATCCTGATTTTCATTTATTGTTTCTAAAATTTTAGCTTAATAGATTCCTTTGTATTTTTGAAAAAAGGAGAACATCCAAATAATATCCAATTTAACTATTTTTTATGCATTTAAATTTTGGGGAGGTTTGCCAGAGAAAATATGGATTCCATGGATGGGAATGTTAAAATGTTAAAACCTAATTTTTTAAAAGCCAATTGCTATTTTTATTTTATTCCCAGTTAGGAAAAGTGGAAAAATAATTTTTTAAATTTTATTTTTATGAATTTCTACTTGATGGGTTATATTTTTGCAAAACTATATTTCATACTCAAAAGCATATGAGATTAAAAATTCAAATATCATATAATATTTAAAATGAAGAAATATTTGATTTAGTTTCTTGAATTGTCTTAATCAGCTTAATATTTTACTCCAATTCATTGCTCACACTGACTAGCTATATCTTGGAAGCATAAAGTTTACTTCCAAATGAATAAATTTAGCATGTTGTAGATGTAGCTTAAATATCCTCTGCTTCATGAGAGTTTAGAATTTCTGTAATGCAATATATCTATGTATTAAATATAAAATCTATATGCTATTTCATATGCATGTAATTATTAAATAAGGCATAATATGAACAAACCCTTCTATTGAAGTAAAATTCAGCTATATTGCATTTTTATATGATGACAACAGCACGTACTAACTATGTGACCTGGCCAAGTCATTCAGTTTTCTGGAAACAGTTTCTATATATTTAATTTTACCATAAAATATCTTAATTTAAGATTATTACAAAGATTAACACATAAAATGATCCTAGCCTAAAGCTCATACAAAATGGGTGATCCAGTATAAGTTGTATCATATAATACATATATAATATAAAACATATTACTATATATGAATACATGATATATAATCATATGCATTTATTACATTTATGTTTCTTTATATATTAAATATAATATATAATAGAAATATGAGATATAGTTATAGAATCTAACTTTAATCTTTATGAATATGCAGATAAAAGGAGAGAAGAGGGACTGATACTTGAGTTGCAAGTAGCAAAATGGGGAATTCCTTAAGTGTGTGAGCATTTGCACAAATGTGTACAGAGAGAAGGCAAAATGTGAGTGATGATTGTGGACAATGGTGAAGGTGCTATCTATAAGAAACAAAGTTTACAGTTGTATGTTACCAATTTAATATTTGCTCACTTGTATCTCAAACCACTTCACTTCTATGAAATGACTTTCTTTCTGAGTTTTGTTACTATTTTGTATTATCGAAATTACCCAAATATTCCATATTTACACTACTTTGACACTTTTTTTGAAGCATGGGAATTTTTATGTAGATACAAGAATACAATACAACCTTTAATACTTTTAAAATGATTTTTATTGGATTTATGAACATTTCAGATATTAAATTTCACAGAATCTCTGGAAACACTTGGTAGGACTTTGTCTAGCCCTCCAATATATGTTTGCTATCTTTATCAGGATTCTGTTAACTTGGAATCTGTTGTTAACAATATTCCTATCTGCAGAAATAGATGTTAAGGAAGTACAAACATTTTCATGGTTCAATTGCTGACTTAATATATATCAAGGACTGAATATTTTGATCTGTTTGTAAAAATACACAAGTTTCCTTTCTCCCCAAAGATGTTTCTTACTGAGAAATTCTATTAATTTGTGAATTTCTACTTGATGACTTATATTTTTGCAAAACTATATTTTATAATCAAAAGAAAATGAGATAAAAATTCAAATAGCATATAAAATTTAAAATAGGGAAATATTTTATTTCTGCAACTTCATCTAATACTAATAAAATTTATGTTCATGCAATTTTTTATCACTTTGGTAGTCAAATTATGAATTTTTAGAAGTTACATTTTAAAATGAATTCACCCCAATTTAATTTAATTCCCAGGAAAGCTGCAGGAATGCTGCCTAAATTCAACCAAATTGTTGAAACTACACCCACATATGGGACACAGGTATTTCCAACCATTGTTGGTACTTATGATCACAACCCTCATCTCATGGTGAGATCTCAAATGATTCTCAAAAGCTTTTCCAGTAAATGTGTTTTGAATTTGGGTCCGTTGGATATAGAACACGGGCCTCACAAAAATGTAAAATCCATCCTTCCCCTTAGTGTCAGTTGATTTGTAAAATTTTCCTGATGTCATTCTCTCAATTAGGGGACGGTAGTAGTACACCCTCAAAGGCCTTCCAAATATTATTGCTCTCTCATCATGGATGAGGATATTTGGGCGAGGAAGAAATGCTATATATTTTTGCTTTACCCATGTGGTATTTGGGCGACCTGTAGACTGAGAGAACTGTCTCCCACAGAGCAGACGGAGAATCATTCTTCTTATCTCATGATTGTTAATAAATGGGATTCTCCATGAAATTGAAAGTTGGAGAGGAATTTTGTAATTTATGGTGCTATGAGGGAAATCACTTGCTTTCATCTCCACTTTCCCTGAGTAGAATCTTGATCTTTCAGTTAAGGGACTGTTTTTATTAATTTTTACTAGTGGAATACTCATGTAGTTAATTCTATCTGATCCTGACATAAGAAAGATCCATTTTCTAGGAATGGGGATCTGAATTAGAAAAGACTCTTCTTCTTTTATATTTTCTTTTTCAGTGTCTTTTTGAATCTTCTCTGTTTCAAGCTCACTGCTTTCTGCTGCTTGAGGAACATCCTCCTGGGAGGTGGTTGTGTCTGGTTCCCTATTTATTGGGTTGTTTTCCACCTGAGAGATAATATTGGTATCTGCAGATAGAGGCTCTATGTCTGTATTACAGTCATTTGGAGCCTCATTTTCAGAATTTTTGAGAATATTGTCAGCTGGATCACTTCCTTCTTTAGTAGGAGAAGTCATCCTGGGTTCTATTTGTGAGAAAGAAGAAAAAGATTTATTAAATTGAGGAATGTTCCACTTTATAAGAAATCAGTTCTTTATTCTTGGGAAAATGCATATGGACGTGTTATTCCTGTGCTTTTTCACAACTATAAATATTTTATCAGAGTCATAAACCCACAAAATAAAATAGGGAAAAGTCAAAACTTGTTAAGAAAATATGATTGAGGAATTAATGAGATGTGGCTCATAAGACCATTATTTTATTGTATAACCCAATATTACTATGTTAAAGACAGAAACAGCAGTTTGCAGGGTTTTGCCCTGAAGGAATGTGTGAACTCAATGGTTCACTTATTAGAGGCTGCTAACATGGGAGATCTCTCAAATCTTCGGTAGGGATGTTTTCCAGGAAGGCTTCCCAGTATCTCAAAATCTGTGAGCTTCCCTGTGTCTTGAAAGACAAGACAAGGGAAACATGGTCCACAGGATGGGAGACAGAGACAATGAGTGCACTTTGCCCAGAGAAGCGCCCTGGTGGTTATAAACAACCTGTTTTATAGAGATGGGCTTCCTGCTCTCTCCTGTCTGTCGACCTTTAAGTCCACCATAACTAATCAAAGAAATATATAGAGTCACTATACCTCTTTTGTTTTGCCTTTGTTAATTGACAACTACTACCTCTTTAGAAATTAGCCCCTGAAAGACTTTGTACCTGTTTGTTCACCTAGATAGATTAGAAGCCCCTTGAGAGGACTTTTGACCCTAACCCACTACCTGTATCCCCTAGCAACTGCATTCCCTGATATGCAAATATGTTACCCTGACAACTGGTAATTGATGTCTGTGATTACAAAAACCTGTATGAATCTAACCATATTGCTGGAGGTTATGGAGATCTACCAGTCCCCTAGGTGCCCCCCTCTGTGTTATATCTGATCTCTTTATATATATAACTATAAACTCTACCTTAGTCTCTGTGTATTCTTTTATTTCTCTCTGTTGCCTATCAATTTCCTTATCCTCTGTGGTGACCCCTATCTTAGAGACTTGGCCCCTTGGGGAGAAGTAGCTAATCTCCTTGCAGGCCTGCCTCAACTATGCTTGCCTCTGCAAAAACTGAGAGAATATAAAAAATCTTCTATTAAATACATATTCTTATTACTTAGTTATGGAAATTGCATAATCTTAAAATAACATAACCTCTCATTTGACTATTTTTGGAATGTATTCTATGTAGCAGAGCACATACAATTCTGGATAGGAAGCCCGATCATTCCCTTTTGGAAGGTGAACTAAATAGAGTTTTCACTGAGTAAAATAGATCTGAATTACTAACCTGGGAGTTTAAAATGAGACTAAAATAGAAGGCAGTTATTAAAAGTATATATATATTTGAGAGTTAAGACCTATGTAAAAATTAAATGGTTGAATTTGTATGAAAAACAAGCCATTCTTCTGGAATTTTGTCTCTGTTGCTGATGCTGTTGCTTTAAATCTGCTTTTTATGGGCAATATACATAAACTTAACACTTGTACTCCCATAATATGCTAAAATAAAAAATAAAGATAAATAAATAAATAAATCTGCTTTTTAAAAATAAAAATAATAGTCATACAAAGAGGAGCAATTGTAAATTATATGAGAAGGGAAGGCAGGGTGGGTAAGAATGTAGGAAGCTCATCAATGAAGTCCAAACTCTGAGGCCATTTGTTAAAATATCTTCAAAATTTACCATTTCGTTTCATTCTCACTGCCTCAGTACTAGTCAAGCTGGTAATCACCTCATGCTTGCTTGAATTTCCCTAATTCCAAATTCTCCACTTAACACTCTCCTTTCACCTATTTCTTTCCTTATGTCATTTACATGCTCAATCACCATCAGTGTATCCTAATTCTCTGAACTCTGTGCTTCTAATTCTCTTCTGTGAGGCGACTTGGAGCAATTACAGTTGGGAAATTTTTTCAGAGTAGGAAGATGGGTAGGGCCATTTCTCACTAAAGACAATGGTGGGGAAAGACAAATTCAAGTGGGCTGAAAACAAATCTGGAGGACTTTGAGAAATTAACTAACATGCCTTTCACTTCTCATGGCTAGCTTTTATGAGATAACATGGGAATAATTTATGCATAGGTCAGCTGGATTTAAAGATGGAGAACGATGTGGGCCTCATCTCATACTGCAGTCTCCAGAGAGCCTCCACAATCTGACTCAACCTCCACCTCCACTGTCTTTCTTTTCTCCACTAATTCAACATACTTTCTCTGTTCTAATACTGCTGAGTTTTTATTTAATGATCTCTTTCCCATCAATTTAAACTTTACTTATTTTTCCAAAGTTTGATATTAATTCAAGTGTGACTATTTTCAACAGACTTTACATTTATTTATTTATTTATTTTTGAGTCAGAGTCTACCTCTGTTGCCCTGGCTAGAATGCCATGGCAGTGGCATCAGCCTAGCTCACAGCAACCTCAAACTCCTGGGCTCAAGCAATCCTTCTGCCTCAGCCTCCCAAGTAGCGGGGACTACAGGCATGTGCCATCATGCCTGGGTAATATTTTCTATATATTTTTAGTTGTCCAGCTAATTTCTTTCTATTTTTAGCAGAGATGGGGTCTCCCTCTTGCTCAGGCTGGTCTAGAACTCCTGAGCTCCAACAATCCTCCTGTCTCAGCCTCCCAGAGTGCTGGATTACAGGTGTGAGCCACCATGCCTGGCCTACATTTATTCTTTTTTGAAGGCAGTGATCACAATATGATTTTATTACATATCTTCCACTTTCCAGTACTGTTCTAAGGTCATGAGAGTGTATACTTATCATCTCCCCCTAATTTTACAGGTACCATTCCTTGACTTATGTGACCATGTTATAGTTTGTTACCCTTCTGCTTCTTTCATCTTTATCTCATTTATGTCTTTTATACTTGGTTTTAAAAGCTCTTTCTAACTTTTCAACATAGGTATTCATCAAGACTCTTTTCTTGATTCTATGTTCTAATTTTTCTTCCCTCTCTTTTACAGAGTCCTAATACTCCCCCCAAATTATACAGGAATATTTGTGGGGCCTTGCTAAACTTTACTGAGTTTTATATTTTTTTAGATTAGCAGTTGTAGGAGCTCTCTACCAAGACACTTGAGCATCAATAGAGTTATAATCAAGGTAAAACATGTAACACAGTCTACATTTTTAAAAATGTCAGAAATAAACAAATTGATCTCACAAAATTTGAGGATAATATGACTGGCTTCTTCTCAGTAAGGCTGAGATTCAATACTTTGGTGAGAACTGAAGTTCCAGGTGGTCATCTAGATCTTGTCAGATGCACCCTGAAAACAAGTCAAGATATTTTCATAAAGCAAATGGAGAATAGTCAGCTCCTGTAACTTTTTCCCCCAAGGAAAGTACCTGTGCTGTTTTGCTTATTGATAGGATATTCGACTTTCACATCCCAGGGTAACTATGAGATTCATTGTTCCTTTCCACAATCTGAAGTAGCATTTTGCATGAGATATATAGTGACTGTTCTGCATATGCTCATGTCTATCACAAATATTAATGCTATTAGACTATATGAAGATTGGTTTGTCAACAAATAGACTATATTTTATATCTAATAGCTTATCATCCTCTGCAAAGTAGTTACATCACAAAGCTATACATTTAGGACTATTATTGCTCACTTAAAAAATAAACTCATGGGAATTGCACAAGAAGGCTCTGGGTATCCTCTTAAACTTTCTAACCTTTATCCTTTAATGCCTGGACTTAGGTTTGGAAATAGCAAAGAGTCACATCTTCATCCTTACTTTATGATTTTCAAATAACTCAGCCAAATGTGTGTTTATTTAAACAACATAGTCTAGAATTCTCATAGTTTCATGCCTTAGGTTTAAGTCTGTTATCCACCGTGAGTTGATTTTTGTGAGAGGAGAGAGGTGCAGATCCAAGAAAATGTTGGAAAAACTCTTATAAACATTGGCCTAGGCAAAGAATTTATGAAGAAGACCCCAAAGACAATCACAGCAAAAACAAAAATCAATAAATGGGACCTGATCAAATCAAAAAGCTTCTGCACAGATAAGGAAACTATTATGAGGGCAACAGACAACTTACAGAATGGGAGAAAATATTCACATGTTACACATCCAATAAAGGGCTATAACTAGAATCTATATAGAACTCAGGAAAGTCAGCAAGAAAAAATCAAACAACTCCATTAAAAAGTGGGCAAAATACATGAACATAAACTTTTAAAAAGAAAATAGACTAATGGCCAACAAACATATGAGAAAATGCTCAGCATCTCTAATCATTAGGGAAATGCAAATGAAAACCACAATGAGATATCACTTAACTCCAATGAGAATGGCTTTTATCAAAAATTCCCCAAACAATAAATGTTAGTGTGGATGCAGAGAGAGAGGAACACTCCTACAATGCTGGTGAGGCTACAAACTAGTACAACCTCTGTGGAAAGCAATATGGAGATACCTCAAAGAGATGTAGATCTACCATTTGATCCAGCAATCCTATTACTGGGCAACTACTCAAAGGGAAAAAAGACATTCTATAAAAAAGACATCTGCACTCAAATGTTTATAGTAGCAAAATTCACAATTGCGAAGATGTAGAAACAACCCAATTGCTCATAAGTACACGAGTGGATTAGTAAAATGTGGTATATGTATACCATGGAGTTCTACTCAGTCACAGAAATCAATGGTGATCTAGCACTTCTTGTGTTATCCTGGATGGAACTAGAGTCCATTCTACTAAGTGAAGTATCCCAAGAATGGAAAAACAAATGACACATGTACTCACCATCAAAGTGGTATTAACTGATCAATACTTATGTGCACATAGTGGTGACATCTATCAGGTGTTCGGCAGGTGGGGGTGATGGGTATATTCACACCTAATTGATGTGGTGCACACTGTTTAGGGGATGGACACGCTTGAAGCTTCGACTCTAGTGGGTCAAGGGCAATATATGTAACCTAAACATTTGTACCCCCATAATACACTGAAATTTTTTTTAAAAAGACACAGTCTGCTCTTCTTTTCTGTTTTGTATTCTACTTGGTGTGATTTACTCACTTAGAGCATTATAGATAAAGATAGAAATATTGACAAAATTCACTGAAATATTTTACTGTTTATTATACAGAAAACCAAAATTGTACTACACAAAGATATATATAGATGTGCCTGATGGCTTTTTAAATGACAATTTTTAAAATACTAAAAGTAAAACACGTTTTGAGTTGATAATTGGGGCCCTGAGGAAGCACAATATTAGTTTACTCTTGCTCTGGATTTATTTTATTAAAAATTATATTTAAAAATCTGTCACTAAATAACAGTGTTAGTGTTTTTAGATATTCTCTTCTGATTCAGATTTTTACACAAAAAGTCCTGTTTGAGATTTGGAAGATACATATGGAGTGTAGAAAGAACCTGGCTACCTTGAACCTTTTTAAATCAGATTCAAATACCCTCCAAATTGAGATGAGTTTGTTTGTATTCTAGTTGAACTGTGTCCTTCAATGTTCATGTGCTTTGGAAAGAATGTGTGTTCCTTCCACCATAACTTTAAAAATTGTACATTGAATTGAATTAATGACTCATCAACTCAGTCGAAACATTTTTTATGTGAATGTCTCATTTTTCCCTGCTGACAAACTCTCCAATAAACATCTTCATTTTACTTCAGATGAAAAAGCCTTAACTACATAAGCTTTCTGAGCCTTGAGTTCTCACAAATGAAAGGAAACTCCTAACTATATTCCAACTCCTTCATCTGGAGGAATTTAACATCTCTTCTTCCTTCCAAATTTATTGATTTTACTTTAAAAATGTTTTCATCTCTCAAAATGTTTAGTGACAAATAAAAGCTGTTACTCTTCTCTATTTAAGACATGTTCACACAAACCCACGTGTGAATATTGAAGCCCTGATCCAGAGGGATAAGTCTCAGAATAGCATCTCTATCAATGAATGATAAATCAATCAAGCAAAGCTAATTTAAAAATAATTTCTTAAATACTATAAAATGGATACACAGACTAAGAAGTACTTATTAAGATCCTTATGTTTTCTGTTTCATTTTCAACTCACCCTTTATCTCCATTCTCATTAGTAGAAATCCCTCTGTAATATGTGCTTCGCTAGGCCTCGCCTGCTCTCCTCCTTTTCCTCTGCCCTCTACCTCTCCATTTATACTGATTTCAAAGTTCTTTTGACTCTGCATCATAATGTCCACAGAACTTGGCAACCTAGCAACCAAACAGAACCCTCACCAGAGTGTGGGAGGAGGGAATAACTTAAATGGCAAACCTGAAAAAGTCAGGAAAAGGGTAAAGGCTGGGAACATCCATAAATTTATAATTTTTGCCTTATCACAGATAAAATCCTAACTCTATTCTCTCCTCAAGATTGAAAGAGTGTGGAAATAAGCCTGCCATATAAAATACCAGATATACAATAAAATTTGAATTTTTTTCTAAACAATACTTTTTCAGTATAAGTGTGTACTAAATATAATTAAACATGTTTAGGAACAAATTTACACTTAAAATTGTTGTCAAGATGAAATTTACATTTAACTTAGCATCTTGCATTTTTAGTTACTAAACCTGCCAACACTACATGAAGATAATATATGACTATTTCATTTTATTAGGTTGCTTTATAGACTTCTGTCTTTACATCACTTTCTGGTATTCTTTTTATTACTTTACCTAATTGACCTTTCTAACTGACCTTTAATTACTTTACCTAACTGACCTTTCTCAGCTTCCAAAAATTAAACAGTAGGGATCCATATATTCTTTGATTTCCTGTTTGACCCTTATCAATGTATTTTCATTTTGATCATGTCTCCAGAACACTTCCAATTACCAACCCCTATTAGTTTAAAGCCAAATAAAATTGTTTCCTGATACATGTAAGCCCATGAGACTCAGAGAGGATATTAGAATTGAATGTCTCTCATCCAAGATAAAGTCTATCCAAGAAGGAGTGTCAAAGGTGAATGATAAAACATCCTCAAAAAGGGTCAATATAAAGCCTAGATAGAGACTGGGAGTCAAATTGTGGCATCAAAACTGAACTATTAGTCTAGGAAAAAGAGAAGTAGAGGAAAGAAATGAAAGACATGCCTGGAGAAATCTGAGAGAAAAGGATAGGTGACTACAATGGTTCTCTGCCTTTTAGGTATGAGCTTGCATGAAAATGCTAAATATTTTATAAAGGGTCTGAGCAAATTACTCATTGATTCACTTTCTTTACCATTTTATTTTATTAGATATTTCTATGTCCAGTGCCTCTTGTCTTCCCTATTTTCTTATGACTATTGCTGCTATGCCATTTATTGATAGTTGTTAGGGCTCTAGATTGTGACCCCAAAGTATAAGCTTTAAGGATTCAGATTCGTCATGATATTCTTAGAAATCTGATAAGGAAGTAAGTCTATCAAGTGGTTTATTTTCATGACAAACCAAAGAGTTTTATAAGAAACTATTTATTCAAAGACAGAGTCAAAGCACCTAGGCCTAGAACAAAACAATTAGTGGTGATTTTAAACATAGCAGAGTCTATGTCTCAGTCTCTATTTCTATCTCTTATCTATCTATCTATCTATCTATCTATCTATCATCTATCATCTATCCATCTATCAACTATCCTAGTTTTGGTCTAGTCATCCTGGAGAAACATGTTGGAAACTTTAGAAATAAAGAAAAGGTGGTCAATTTATCTAATAAACGTTTTCCTCTTTACTGAGGTGACTGTCAGAACAAATCATAGCTTGGTATAACAAATGGTTCCATACTGTAAGTGTCTATCTGAAAGGACAGCAATATCTCAAGCAGCTAGGCAGCATATGGGAGATTTAACAACCAGTAAGACAAAGTAACACAAGGCCAAAGTCAAAAGCAAACCCCCCACATACTCCCAAGACATGAAATAATGTATCTTAATGGGGGTTTAGGAACCATAATATTATAATCTTGTTGCTGTAGTAAAGCTTAGAGGATAGCAAATCCAATACCAGGAAAAGGAAAGGAGAAATTTTATACTTGGAAGCCATGAGGACCTCATTTGGTAGCAATTTCATCTGGCAAAACAACCACAAGGAATTTTCTGAATTACTAGAAGATAATTGAGGAACAAAAGAAATAAAAAACATTCATGAATGGAGAATAAGCAAAAGATTGTTTGATGTGACCATATAGTTAATATTTTTTTTCTTTTTTAATATTGTTTCTCTGGATGCTGAGTTTCTCTGAGTTCAATACTAGTGGATATCCTTTTCTCTTATCTTCTTCCTTATTTCACAATTTCCCTTCATGAGTTCCCCAGCTAACTTTGGCATCTCTCTCTATGATCTACACTTGATCTGAAGCTCTTCTCCCCTCTCCTTTTCTGAGATCTAACTTCCCTCCAGGACAGTTTGGCAAGCAATGTCTCCAGTTGGTCATCCCTCCTCCTGCCCAGAACTACTCATTTACATATGGAAAAGATTTATCCCTGTATAAATTTCTACATTCACAATGTTAAGAATTTTGAAAGGTATGGAAGTTTATCTTTTAAGAATGGATGAATAACAAAAAGAGAATAAAACGTTCTATCATACAGTAGGGTGACAGCATTCAATGGTAAGGTATTGTATATCTTAAAATTTTAAATGATATTTAGAGAAAACTCTGAACTTTTTCATTTGTCTGCTAACTATTTGTATGTCTTCTTTTGAGAAATGTCTATTCAGGTCCTTCTACAATTTTAAATTCAGGTTTCTTTTCTTTTCTTATTATTGAGTTGTTTGAGTTCCTTATATAGATTGAATATTAAACTCTTATCAGATGTATAGCATACAAATATTAAAGATTTATACTATTCTGTAGGTTGTGTCTTAAATCTGTTCATTGTTTTCTTGCCTATGCAGAAGCATATATATATATATATATATATATATATATGTGTGTGTGTGTGTGTGTGTATATATATATATATATATATATAATTACACTGCTTATTTTGGCTTTTGTTGCCTGTGCTTTTTGGCTCCATAGCCAAATAAATCATTGCCCAGATGAATGTCATGGAGTTTTTCCCTATGTTTTCTTCTACTAGTTTTATAGTTTCAGATCTTACACTAATGTCTTTAATATAATTTCAGTTGATTTTTGGTATGTGGTGTGAGATAAAAGTCTAATTTCATTATTCCACATGTGGATATTCAGTTTTCCCAGCACCATTTATTACAGAGATTGTCCTTTCCCCATTATATGTTCTTGGTATCTTTGTTGAAATCAATTCCCTGTACATGTGTGGATTCATTTTGAGCACCTTATTCCGTTTCATGGTCTATGTATATGTTTTTCCCAGACTACTGTGTTTTTTTGTTTCTATTTTTATTTTTTCCCAGAGATTGCTTTGGCTTTTGTGATTTATTGTGGTTTCATACAAATTTTATAATTTTTTCTGTTTCTGTGAAAAATGTTATTAAAATATTGTTAGGGATTACATTGAATCTGTAAATCACTTTGGGTAGTATGGATGTTTTAACAATATTAATTTTTCCAATACATGAAAAAAGAATTTTAAAAATTTATGTGTTCTTTTTTCTATTTTTTAAATAAATGTTTTATAGTTTGTAGTACATAAATTTTTCATTTCTCTGGTTGAATATATGCCTAAGTATTTTTAAGCTATTTTAAATTGAACTTTTTTCTTGATTTCTTTTTTGGAATATTCTTTGTTGGTGTAAAAATGCTACTGATTTTTGTATACAGATTTAATGTCCTAAAATTTTACTGAACTTTTTTATTATTTCTAATAGATTTTGGTTGAGTCTCTGTGATTTTCTAGATATAGGATTATATCATCTGCTGATAGGGACAATTTAACTTTTTAATTTCTTATTTAAATGCTTCTTGTTTTTTCTCTTGTCTAATTGCTCTATCAATAATTTCCAATACTATGTTGAATAGAAGTGGTAAAAGTGGGCATCTTTGTCCTACTCCTGACTTTAGAGAAAACCTTTGAATTTTTCAGCATTTAGTATGATTATAAACCCTCATTCATCATATGACCTTAATGTGTTGAGGTATACTTCTTATATACATAATTACTATACTTTTATCATAAAATTATTTAATTTCTGTCAAATGATTTTTACATCTATTGAGATTACTATATTGTTTTGTATTTTATTCTATTAATATAGTACAACACATTTATAGATTAGAGCATATCAAATCATCCTTGAATTCCTGAAATAAATACTACTTGATCATGGTGAATAATTATTTTAATGTACTATTGAATTTGCTTTGATATATTTTGTTCTGTATTATAATTTAGCATTTTTGTACTTCAGGAATATTGACCTGCAATTTTCTTTTCTTTTAGTGTCATTGTTTGGTTTTGATATCAGGTTAATGCTGGCATTATAAAATGAGGCTGAAAATATTTCCTTTCCTTTGATTTTTTGGAATAGTTTCAAAAGTATTAGTATTAGTTCTTTTTTAAATATTTGGTAGAATTCAACAGTGAAGGGATTTTTCTGCCGGAAAATGTTTTATTACTGATTCAATCTGCTTACTTATTGGTCTATTCAGACCTTCAATTTCTTCATGAATCTATCTTGGTAGGTTGTATAGTCTAGGAATATTTCCATTTCTGTTAGGTTATTCAATTTTTGTCACATAATTGCTCATAATAGTCATTTATGACACTTTGTATTTTTGAGTTATTAGCTATAATGTCTCCTTTTTTTATTGTTACTGAGCATTTTTTAATATCAACATATTAAGAGGGTACAAATGTTTTCATTACATGGATACATTTTATAATGCTGAAGTCAGGACTTTCAGGGTGCTTGTCACCAGGACAGAGTTCATTGCACCCAATAGGCAAGTTTCTAATCCTCATACCACTCATGTCCCCTTCTCAGTTTAAAATGCCCTTTACATATCTTTGTATGATTAGCTCCCTCATATTAGTGAGAACATGTGATGTTTGTTTTTCTTTTCCCAAGATACTTCACTTAGAATAATGGTCTCCAGTTCCATCCAAGTTGCTACAAAAGACATTATTATTATTATTTTTCATTTTATGCCTGAGTAGTCCTCCATGGTGTGTGTGTGTGTGTGTGTGTGTGTGTGTGTGTGTGTGTGTACATATATATAACATCTTTATCCACTCATAAATTG